AGCCTGTGCCTCACACGGGGCCTCCGGAAGCCTGAGTGCAGTTTCCTGACTCCCACTGAGGGTGAGGGGGGTCAGTGGTTGGAGGAAACCTGTCTTAGGGCTGGTCAGTGGCAGGGAAAGGGCTTCTGTAGCAGCCGCCAGGGGCGGTTAAACTTGCAGGGGAGCAGTATTACCGTAAGTAAGGGGTTTTACTTACTTGTCATTGACGAATGAGTACATTAATAATCGCTCCTCTATGAACTTCTTCCATTCTGGCTTTTCATTTGCCAAATCCCTGTAGTTGTCATTGGACATGATTATCCCGTCCGACTCGAACGCCAGCTTCACGATGAACCTGTCGTCATAGCACACCACACGTCTGCCCTGCACGCGCCGGGACGGCGTGAACACCAGGACCTTCTCCTTCTCTAGTTTACGCAGAATTTCTTGATCTGCAAGAATAATCAGGGTAGAATTTCAGGAATAAACACATACAAAGTGTGTCCAGCAACTTTCTTACAATGTGAGTGTTTGTCACACGAGCTGGATGCATGTGACCATTTAACCAGGGACTGTGATTCCAGTTTGTAGATGCTACAACATTTGTAACTCCCAGTGACATTTTTTTCTTCAGGATGCTCAATAAAAACAGGTGTTAAAAATAGCCCAAAAAGTGAACTTGAAAAATGCAGAAAGTTTAAAACTTTTAAAAGCTTTAGAAACTTTAAAAGCATAAAACTTAAACATGACCGAGCCAATCTGATTGTCATGACATGAAGCCTTCGCGTGACAGCTGGAGTCACCAGCACTGCTGGGTGAATGGGGCCTCTTACAAGTTCCTAACAAAGCAACGCCACCCTCACAAAGCAGCTGTGCTGGGTTAAGGTGTGAGCAACAGGTCCTCTCCCCCACATCTGATGATTTTGTAGTTCTGTTTTTCTGCCTGCTGGATGTGATGGAGAGTCTGAAAAGCAGAAGAGGTTGCAGTGTTAAAGGGAAGAGTCTTAAGATGCAGACATATCAGAGAGAGGGGGCAGCGATGAACCACTGTCACAGGCGTGGCCACTGACTGTGCTGGGCCCCGTCCTGTGGAGCAGGTGCTAATAGAGGCCAGCAGTCTTGTGGGGGTTGGACTGAGTGGATAAGAGAT